CAGCTCCTCAGGTGCCAGCTCCAGCTGCTGGACCCAGAGGCGCCTGAGTACAAGGTGGGCTGGGCCTCGCGGAGCAGCCGGGCTAACCGTGGCACCGTCCCTCTGCCCACTGGCCACGGTCCCTTGCCCTTGGCCTTCCTCCCCATGTCTCTAGAACTTGAGCTCTGAGAGCCCCGCCACTGGGGGACCAGTCGGGGTTCACCCGTACCTCTGGCCCTTGGCACCCCACTCCCGCTCTCCCCCAGGTGATCCACACCTACTTGAAGCAGACCGGCGGCAGCTACAGGAGCCCGGTGCTACGGCACGCTTGGAAAGTGAACCGAGACGGGGAGGTGAGGGAGCCCCGAAGCCCTCCCCAGCCCTGCCCTGACCGGGGAGATGGGGTCCTGGCTTAGGTGTCCCTGACTGAATCGTCTTAGCCACTGTGACCCGTCACCACCGGGCCTGGGCTTGTGGGTGTGTGCATGAGGGTGTGAGTGCCCAGGGGGACCCAGGCCTCAGTCGGACCCCCAAACCGGTGGGCACGGCTCTCCTGTTCTGCACCCCCAACCCCAGGGAGACAGGTTCCAGGCCCACTCCACACTGGGCAACCGCAGGCTGCTGTGGCACGGCACCAACGTGGCCGTGGTGGCCGCCATCCTCACCAGCGGGCTGCGCATCATGCCGCACTCCGGCGGCCGCGTGGGCAAGGGCATCTACTTCGCCTCGGAGAACAGCAAGTCGGCCTGCTACGGTGAGGCGCCCTCAGCCCAGCCCTGGCGGCCATGGGGAGGTGGCAGAGGCCCGAGGCTGCAGGCGGGCGGTGCCCTCACCAGGCCAAGGGGATGGGCACCCAGGTCAGGACGGTGGAGTGGGGAGGAGAGAATCTGTGAGGGACACGCAGGAGGCGGTAGCAGCTGTGGGAAAGGGCCCCAGGGGTCTCTAGTGACCCGCAAGTTCCTATCCAGAGGTGTCTTCACGGGGGGACCTCAGCCAGGCTGACCTCAGCCTTGGAACCACCCACCACCCACCTGAGACAGCCAGGCCCAGGGCAGATGGGGAGAAGTTCTGGGAGGTGTGAGGTGGCCAAGGCCAGGGCCCAGGGGTCGGGCAGGGGGCAGATGAGCCTAAGGAGGGGTCGGGGTGGCCGCAGGGCCGGTGCCGTGGTCCCAGGCCAGGGGTGAAGGGTGCGAGTGGCAGAGCGGCCAGGGAGAAAAGCCCCCACCGCGTCTGTCCCTGGGAGGCCATGGCCAACCTTGGGGAGGGCAGCCGGGGGGCAAGGCCTGGCCCCGGAGCCCAGGAGTGGGGGGAATGGGAGGGAGTGTGGCCAGGACGAGGGGTGCTTTAAGGAGGAAGCGTGGGCAGCCTTTTGTGCTGGGGCCCAGGGAGAGGAGGTTCCCATGCAGCAGCCAGGGGCCCAGGGAGTCAGGCGGGGGCCCAGCTGCCCAGCCTGAGCCGCCGTGTCCCCCAGTTACCACCATGTCATGTGGGGCCCACCACATCGCCTACATGTTCCTGGGGGAGGTGGCCTTGGGCAGAGAGCACCACATCACGGCTGATGACAACAGCTTGAAGCAGCCACCCCCCGGCTTCGACAGCGTCGTCGCCCGAGGCCACACGGAGCCTGGTGAGTCCCAGGCCTCAGAGGCTGCGCAGGCCTAGGAGGGAGAGGGGGCACGGAGGCCAGGACCCAGGATGCTTTCAGGAGGAGGCAGCAGAGAAGGGGCTGGGAGCAGCAGGCTTCCTCCCTGCAGCCATTCCCTTTGTCATCCAACAATCATCCTGGGTATCCAGGAGGGCTTCAAAGAGGAGGTGTCAATGACTGAGCATCAAAAGATGAGTAGGTGGCCCTAGCCAGTGGCTAGAGCATTGGCCTGCGGACTGAAGGGTCCCAGGTTCGATTCCCAGCAAGGGCACATGCCCGAGTTGCAGGCTCAATGGTGTTCCTATTTCTCCCTCTCCCTCTCCTTTCTTCTCTGAAATCAATAAAAACATTAAAAAATTAAAAATTAAAAAGAGACGAGTAGGTGTCTCCCAGGCAAGGAATGGAGAGGGATGACTCAGGCAGAAGGCGTGGCCTGTGCCGTGGTTTGGAGGTGAGCAGGGCGGGAAGTGTGCGCATTCCCCGTGGCAGAAGAGGAGAGCATAGTGGCCGAACGTACCCTGGAGGCCAAGGACCCTCAGGTCACCCCTGGCCCTTGCTGTGTACGCAGATCCCACCCAGGACACGGAGCTGGAGTTGGACGGCCGGCGAGTGGCAGTGCCCCAGGGCCAGCCCAAGCCCTGCCCCGAGTTCAGCCATTCCTCCTTCTCCCAGAGCGAGTACCTCATCTACCAGGAGAGCCAGTGCCGCCTGCGGTACCTGCTGGAGGTGGGCCTCTGATAGCCGCCCTCACCCAGGCCCTGCCGGGGAGAGACTGCCGTCTGTCTTCTCGTCCAGACCCGGCCCCCATGTCACCGCTTCTTGCTCCCAAATCTCCCTTCTGTGTCCCAGACAGTGGTCCCCGCCCCCTCCAATCCCCACTGCCCTGGCCTGGCTGTGGCCCCGAGTCTCGCCTGCTAACGTGACAGGAGTGAGGGACTGGCGGTATCCCTGGGTCACAATGCCGCAGCCTCTTCAGGGCTGTGTCATCAGAGGGGCACAGGCTGAGGGTGTCAGACCTCTTACCCGCCCGGGCTGTCCACCAGGCCCAGCCTGTCCATCCCAGAGGTGTGACCGCCAGTGGAGGCTGGACAGCAGGCAGCAAGTTTATTAAACACTGTCCACTCACCCCAGGTCCCGACTGTCTGTGCTGCGGCCACACAAGCCTGGGCCCCCTTCCTCTCCACAATGACCCCCCCACCCACAGCCCATGGCAGCTTGGGCCCCACCCACCCTGGTCCATCTGTGTCCGTCACTGCAACCACCCGCCGCCCCTGATCACTGAGCTTTCAAAGGCGACCCTCACCGTCCACTCAGACCTGGCGGCCACCTGGGGACCCACCTGGGGGTCTGTCCGCTGGCCCGCACGTGGCCAGGCAAACCGAGCATCGCTCCTGGCTCGGCATCAACGTGTCTCAGATCTGCATGTTCTAATCCAGCTGAGCACACGCCGAGCGCCCAGCTCTGCCACCGTGAACGATGCCCGTTAGCACGGGGGGTCACCCTACCCAGACCCGAGGGTGCGGGTGCTGTGTCGGCTCCTCCAGCTCCAATCCAACACCACGGGGTCCCTTCCTTCTCCCCAGCCCCACACTCACACCTGCTTCTCTCACAGTACGTACCTCCGTTTCCGTCAGCATCAGTCCATTTACTTGTTGGCTCCATCCCACCCGAAAAGGAGGTGCAGAACCGCCGTGCCATGCCACCGTGAGCACAGGCTTTCTGAGCGGGGCTCCCGCTCTTCCCGGTTATCATTTTGTCTTTAGATGAGCAGTGAGTTTGAAACAGGTGTTTCACATGTTGCTGGGATTAGTTACTTCGTGTTTCCTTTCGGTGTAGTTGTGCCATTCATTTGAAATGCAGGTAGGGTCCTTTGTTCTGCTTATACAGTGGGGCCTTGACTTACGAGTGTCCCGACTAACGAGTTTTTTGAGATACCAGCTGTCTCGAGGGCCGATTTTTTGCATTGAGTTGATAGAGTAATTTGAGGTAACGAGCTCCTTAACAAGCTATGTCTCGGAACGAATTAAACTCGTAATTCAAGGCCCCACTGTATTCACCTTTAGGCGGGCTTTTCCTCATCTTCACTGGCTTATTTTTTCCAACACACAGAACATTAACATAGTCCCAATTGCATAGTCCCCAGAAGTCTAATCTATACAAAAACAGGAGCTCAGAAGAGTCACCCCCGGGCCCTGCACGCCGCCCACCTGCTGCGGGAAGCCAGCTTCTGGCTTAGCCTTTTGGCAAATTAAAAAGCAACAGTTACACTACAGTTTCAAGTTCAGTTGAGTGACTTTGGAGGAGCAGGCACGCTCCAGCCCCCGCGGTCCCCATCCCTCCTGCGCCGCCGCCAGCTCCTTTTCTTTGCGCTGTTCCTGCCAGGCCTGCTGAGCCCGGTCCAGGCCCGGGTGGCTCGGCGCTGCCCCAGGCCTGCAGGCCTCACTGGGCAGGGAGACCAATGCCTTCTCTTCCCTCTGAACGAAAACCTCAGAAATCCAGCTTCGCCTCCTGCAGGTGAACGCTCACATTCCAGCTGTGGACGCAGCTCGGGAAGCAGAGAACCTGGCTTCCAGGTACCACTCAGCTGGGTGATGGGGGACACATTCCTTCCCTGACCCGGCATCAGCTTACTGTCTGAATAATGGAGAACTGGGCTGGGCCCTTTATTCCCAGCAGAGAGCCCTGACCGGGTTGGCTCAGTGGATAGAGCAGGGGTCCTCAAACTACGGCCCGCGGGCCACATGCAAATACAAATATTGTATTTGTTCCTGTTTTGTTTTTTTACTTCAAAATAAGATATGTGCAGTGTGCATAGGAATTTGTTCATAGATTTTTTAAAAACTATAGTCCGGCCCTCCAACGGTCTGAGGGACAGTCAACTGGGCCCCTGTTTAAAAAGTTTGAGGACCCCTGGGATAGAGCATTGGCCTGCGGACTCAAGGGTCCCGGGTTCAATTCCGGTCAGAAGCATGTACCTTGGTTGCGGGCACATCCCCAGTAGGGAGTGTGCAGGAGGCAGCTGATGGATGTTTCTCTCTCATCGATGTTTCTAACTCTCTATCCCTCTCCCTTCCTCTCTGTAAAAAATCAATAAAATATATTTTAAAAAAATAAATAAGTCCAACCTGGGGTCCATGCCCTAGTCCCCGCTGCCTACATCTGTCCCGATGCTGACCGTGTGCCCGTGATGGGTCCCAGGGGCGCAAGCATGAGCAAGACGCAGACAAGGTCCCTGCTCTCCCAGGACTCACATTCCCGTAAAACAGGCTCCACACAAGCACACGCGCAGATGAGAAGCTCAGTATCAGGCGGGCAAAGAGCCAGGAAGGAAAGCAAAGCAGGGCAAAGGCGCCGTGATGGGAAGGGGGAGCCATCCCAGGGGAGACGGGCAGTCGCCGAAGGCCTCTCTCGAGCAGAGACCTGGGTGCGGTGAGGGGTGAGCCGTGGGCAGACCCGAGGGAAGGGTGTGCTGAGCGGGAACCCAGTCTGACACATGAGGACCCGCAAGAGGACGGCTCGGGCGGGGAGTAGGGTAGGCGAGGAGGGGTGAGGTCACAGAGAGGGGGCTGCTGTTCTGAGGACAGGAAGCTCCTGGGGGGCTGCGAGAGGGTCACGGCCTGATGTTACCTGTTAGAGCAGCGGTTCTCAACCTGTGGGTCGCGACCCCTTTGGGGGTCGAACGACCCTTTCACAGGGGTCGCCTAAGACCATCAGAAAACACATATATAATTACATATTGTTTTTGTGATTAATCACTATGCGTTAATTATGTTCCATTTGTAACAATGAAATTGGGGGTCACCACAACATGAGGAACTGTATTAAAGGGTCGCGGCATGAGGAAGGTTGAGAACCACTGTGTTAGAGGGACCCGCTTCAGCTGCTGTATAGACAGTGGACTGCAGGGCAGGTGTCAGTCAGCAAAGCAGAAACCACTCTTGGAATCCCAGACAAGAGGAATCAGATCCAGAAAAGGAACGGAACTCCACAGGGGACGGCGAGGCCACCCAACGATGAGCAACCGTGGAAGCTGCTACCACTCTGAGGTTGGATCGATCCTGGAGGGAAATGGTATCCCACTGCCCAGGGACCAGGGCCACCCGCAGGCGCCAGAACCACAGAGAGGGCTGCCTGAAGGAGCGAGGTGGAGAGGCCCGGCAGAGCCAGAGCATGAGAGAGGAATACGCTGGCTCCTCCCGCCTCCCACCCTCCGCTGTCCTGCTCTGGACTCCAGCTCCTGCCTGCTCTGGGCCCCTCACAGCACAGCCTCCAGCCTGCAGCTGGCAGCTGCTAGGACCAGGGGGCTGGTGCCAGGCCCTGCCCCTCCCTTGCCAACTCCGAGTCTGTGAAGGGCCACATCAGAGTGACAGCCAGTACCATCTCCAGCAGGGGCTGAGCTGCTGGGGCAGCGGAGAGAGCCTCAGTCCCAGCCTTGCACCCCTCCATGGGGCTGGCCAAACCCCCGAGAGGATGGGGGCCTGGGCAGCGGAGCCGGAGCCTGGGCAGCCTATGAGGTGAGGGGCCAGAGGGGCAAGAGGCGGGTGATGGGAATGGGGGGAGGGGGCCCTCCCATTTCGCTCTCTGCATCCCCACCCAGGGTGAAGCCGGAGCGCTGGATGGCCAACACCACCGGGCTCCTCCAGGCCACCGAAGTCGCAGGCTCCATGGGGTTGATCCTGGCGGCCATCGTGGAGGCAGCGGCCCTGCTGGGCAACGGCGCGCTGCTGGTGGTGGTGCTGCGCACGCCGGGCCTGCAGGAGGCGCTCTACCTGATGCACCTGTGCATCGTGGACCTGCTGGCGGCCGCCTCCATCATGCCGCTGGGCCTGCTGGCCGCGCCGCCGCCCGGGCTGGGCCGACGTGCGCCTGGACCCCGCGTCCTGCCGCGCCGCGCG